CAGTATTTACATATTATAATATATAAACAGTGTATAACAGTGCATTACATATTGTAATAATAAAAATAATAATAATTATTATTATTATTAGTTATTTTATTATTAGTATTATTAGGTATTACTATTATAATTATTATTATTTATTACATAATAATAATAATTATTATTATTATTATTTTTATGTAATTAATTATAATGGGGGAGGACTTGATAAGCGTGCAAGTAAGAGTGTGTTAGATCTTGTGGTGAGATGAGAAGGCGTCATGATGGATCAAGTGTGGGAGGGGAAAACCTCGCCACTTACTGTGATGACAATATTTTATGATAGATTACAAATATATATATATGCTGGTCGGGTCATCATTTAGAGTTCTTGGTGATTTATGACATGCGACTTACCCCCCTCCCCCCTCTCTCTCTCTCTCTCTCTCTCTCTCTCTCTCTCTCTCTCTCTCTCTCTCTCTCTCTCTCTCTCTCTCTCTCTCTCTCTCTCTCTCTCTCTCTCTCACACACACACACACACACTGTGGTGTGTGTGTGGAAAAAAATAGTAGTTAGTAACAGTTGATTGACAGTTAAGAGGCGGGCCGAAAGAGATGATTTGTGAGATTTGATTGAAGAGATTTGATTGAAGAGATGATTGAAGAGATTTGTGCTTGCGGGCTCAACCCCCGCAAGCACAAATACGTGAGTACACATACACCTCCCCTCCCCCTCCAGGAAGCAGCCCGTAACAGCTGTCTAAATCCCTGGTACCTATTTACTGCTAGGTAACAGGTGCATCAGAGTGAAAGAAACTCTGCCTATTGTTCCTCGTCGGCGCTGAGAATCGAACTCGGGCCACAGGATTACGAGTCCCTCGCGCTGTCTACCCAACTACCAGCGCCCCTGGTAGCGTGTGTGTGTGTGTGTGTGTGTGTGTGTGTGTGTGTTTGTGTGTGTGTGTGTGTGTGTGTGTGTGTGTGTGTGTGTGTGTGTGTGTGTGTGTGTGTGTGTGTGTACTCGCCTAGCTGTGCTTGCGGGGGTTGAGCTTTGGCTGTTTGGTCCCGCCTCTCAACCGTCACTCAACTGGTGTACAAGTTCCTGAGCCTTCTTGGCTCTATCATATCTACATTTGAAACTGTGTATGGAGTCAGCCTCCACCACATCACTTCCTAATGAATTCCATTTACTAACTACTCTGACTCTGAAAAAGTTCTTTCTAATGTCTCTGTGGCTCATTTGGGCACTCAGTTTCCACCTGTGTCCCCTTGTGCGTGTTCCACCCGTGTTAAATATTCCATCCTGTGTAATTACCTAATTGTACCCACCTAATTGTGCTTGCGGGGGTTGAGCTCTGGCTCTTTGGTCCCGCCTCTCAACCGTCAATCAACAATGTGTGTGTGTGTGCGCGCGCGTGCGCGTATACATAGAATAAAACTATGTGATTCAACACACTTTCAAGGAGTACAGTAGAAAGGTGTGGGTTTATATAACGCCCTTCACCTAAGTAGTTATAAAGAAACAAACATAATATCGAACAATGGAAGTGACTTGATGGGAATGTCAGATTTTTTTTAAATTCAATGTTTCACGAACAAAATAAATAAATAAATAAATAAATTATATATATATATATATATATATATATATATATATATATATATAATATATATATATATATATATATATATATATATATATATATATATATACTGTAATTCAATTAAAGGTGTGTTTTCAATTTATAATTAACATATTTTAACCTGGTCGTGATTGTTCTCACCACTTCAACTTTCATTGTAAATTACAATTGAGAATTGCAGCACTTATTACAGCATTTCACCGAGCAAAGTGTGTTGTTGCTAGGCTCTAATATGAACAGCTGTGTGGGAACACTAGGTACGCTACTGCTCACCCAGTCGTTCTGGACACTTGTGTTAATATAGAATTCTAGTTATTAACAATAGAAATTTTATTTGTAACAACTTACACAAATCATTACAAGAGTGGCTGGACTAAACAGATGTACCGTAATATAATCGAAACGTACATTACTGGCATAAATTAAGTAACATTTAGCTTACAATTGGATTCCTCAATTAATTGTCTCTTGTAAAGATAATTAATCATTGATTATATATTTAGTGCAATTATTATTTGTTCATGTTTGGCGTATTTTATTTAGGAAAACGGAATGTGGTTGCTGTGCATTGTTCCGCCTCGTGGTGAGGTTATGTCATTCTTGGCGGCATTTTAGTAACGGCTAAGCCTCAAGACAGTTTTTAGAACAATATGACGCGTTTGGTGGATTTGGTGAAAGGTGTGTGTGTGTGTGTGTGTGTGTGTGTGTGTGTGTGTGTGTGTGTGTGTGTGTGTGTGTGTGTGTGTGTGTGTGTGTGTGTGTCCCCTGCCGGGTGAAAATCGGGTTCAGTGCGTCACGGCTGTGAAAACAATAGCTTAATAAATTCTCAGCGGTGCGTTTATTATTTTGTTGTGGAGGTGGCAGAGTTGAAGGCTAGCGAGGTGTTCACGATCATAGGACAGTGACGCCCTCGTATTCCAGAGTAACCACGGCAAATATGGCTTTACTTAAACGCATTTTAGTGTTGACATACAGTACTAATTTAATTTTATTTTAGTTTCAGATTTGTGGGCTGGGTGTCTAATTTTCAGCTATATTATTATGACTTACTATCCGCACAGGAATGGTAATATAATGAAGCGTTTTCTTTACACTAGGCTAATTTGTTATTTGATTTGCTTTTTGATATTTTAGTAGGCTTGGACGTAAAAATCGCGTTACGGATTCCTGAAAACTAATAGGTGAATGTAATGCACATTAGGAAAATTAAAGGCATCTTGATCACGTGTTTCAACAGATATGGAAATTGGTTTTTCACAATTTTTAAGTTTAATTTTAAATTAGAAAATCAAGCCGTTTAAATAAAACAAAACTCGGAGTTTGTGTTTAATTATTACTTCAGCTCACTTTATGGCGTAACACACAGTGAGATAACAGTGTACGCAACTCACACCAGCATACGCATAGTGAGCAGACACTGCAGGAAATGATATACCAGTAGGCAAAGAGACACATCGAACACTCTATGTAGGGCAGACGTAAATCTGTGTATCTATGTATTTACGTATGTAGGTTAGCTTAGCATTTTAAAAGCACCGAATCACCTTCTGTAGTTGATTGTTCAATAAACCCTTGAACTATATGTTTAACACATCTCTAACCCTGTCCATGGAGGACAGAAGAAAATGTATATATGCTGGTTAGCATTGTAAATGTGTAGCCACGTTTGTGGTAGAAAATAATAAAAAAAAAGAAGGCAAAGAGGCCGGTAACACCTTTATTTCAATTCAGAAACTATAAACAAAAATACTGGCTAGTGAAGCTATTTATGATAAATCAACTTGTTCTCTGCGTTTGCCATTTCGTAAAAAATACAATAGTTTTGTCTAACCAAAAACGTACAAACCCAAGCAATTCACCTAAGCTCTCGAGGACGATGCATACAAAATGGCAATATTACAGTGCTTGATTTTGTTTTAATACGTCGTATTTTTAATGGGTTCGTTGTATCTGTGGAAACATTACTACGTATTAAGGACGGCTTGAAGACTTGAACCCACTGAAAGACCCCGAGCTAACACAGAAGCAGCAAGAGAAAGTATGGGCCAATAGACCTTCTGCAGTTACTTCCATTCTTATGTTTTCATACCCATTGATTCGTGTTCTGTCATAGCTTTGTCACCTCACCCAAAACTTTTGTACCATATTACCTCGCCCAAAACGAGTATGAGTATGATGTATGTTATATATATATATATATATATATATATATATATATATATATATATATATATATATATATATATATATATATGTGTGTGTGTGTGTGTCGTACCTCTATGTAAGTGCCAGAACGCCCTTCTCGGCCAACTATGCAAGGCCCGATTTGTCTAATAGGCCGAGTGATTTTCTTTATTTTCAGTAAATTGTTTCGTATTGGTTTATTTTAATTATTATTATTATTATTATTATTATTATTATTATTATTATTATTATTATATTAAGAACATAAATTATTGATTTAGTTATGTTAGTTTAGGTTAAATTAAGATAGGTTAGGTTCGGTCATATATCTACGTTAGTTTTAACTCAAATTAAAAAAAATTTGCTCATACAAAATTAAATGAATAGCTTTATCATTTCATGAGAAAAAAAATGAAAAATATTAAAATTACGGAAAACTTGGCTTATTAGGCAAATTGGGCCATGCATAGTAGGCCAAGAACTGCTTTCTGACTACTAGGTACAACATTATATATATATAATATAATATAATATGAGAGACAGGCTTACTGTCTCCGACAATGAGAAAGCAAAAAAAAAATATTATTGTTGCATCCATGAATTAGAAAGTCAATTTGCTTTGGATGATAGGAATTGGTATATACGAAATACTGCAATGCGTCACATTAACTTGTGTTTTATTTACATTAATTTTTTAGTTACATAGGCCAACCCTCAGGAAATTAAATGAAAATGACAACTTTTCGGTCTGTCCTGGACCCTTCTCAGGTCGTAACTGATCACTGGATAAGGGTCCAGAAAGATCGCCACTTATATTTCATATGTGTGGGTTGGGTTATTTATTTCAGGCACGTTATGGCGGCTTATTCTCTGATTTGATGGATAATTTTGACTATTTATTTACTAACACCATTCTTCTCCCTAATTTTTGCTGTAACTAGTGTAATAATCATTCCCTTTAGTGTAATAATCATTCTCTTACGCTGTATTAACTAGGCATTAATTTAATGAATTAATAAACAACTAATCTGATTTACTGTGATGGGTTTTAACATGCTTTAACTTTCATCCTTTTCCTTTTAAATATAGGATTCTGATTTTCGAATCCTGTCCTTTCTCTCTGGCTGTGGTGTCCTTTCTACCTGTTTAGGCCAACAGCATGGGTGATGGTCTCTCTCTCTCTCTCTTGCAGAGTCAGTTCCGGTTCGACAATGAAAGTTACCTCCAACTACCAGAGAACCACAAGAGGGTAAGCCTTGTAAGCTAACCCCCGATTTCTGTAAACGCATAAGTTTGTCCAAGCTGCACTTATTTTCTTCCTTATTTTGCCATTTATGCACAATACATTATAAGGCATGACAATATCTACAGCTTTTTATGTTAACTGCCTGTGACGTGCTTATTTATTGCATGCAGTATCGGAGATGAAATTATTAATATATAGGTGTTTTAACCCTTACACTGCTACAATCGCCACATGCAATTTTTTCCCATTTGATTTGTTACAGATATATATGACTTCGAATGTTGAAGGTTATGCTGTTCCCAGGGACACTTACACAGTCAGGGCAAGTTAATATACCAAACGTGGGACAATCTTAAACGAGCCTATTTTATTCATACCGATGCATGGGACACAATGATCGAAAAGGCTCATTATCTAAATGAAAGCCCTACTTTTCTAATGGCATGCCCGATCAATATCCCCAGCAACCACCAGGTGGCAGGATCTTTATATAGACAGGATAGGTTATGAGAAAACCTTTAGAGCAGGACAGTTAATACGAACCAGCATCATGAGTTTGATCCATTATTTAGTCAGATTTTATTAGAATAGACGTTTTAGTTGCAACAAGTTTATGCAAATCCTTACAAATCTGACTGGGGGCTGCAAAAGGTGTGCAACAGGTGAAAACAAATACATTTTAGACAAAAACTTAAAAATCTCTAGACAATAATTTGAATGAAGCCACTCAGTTGCATAACCTAGCATTCAATTTAGACGATCCCAGTGGGCACAGTACCGAGGAATAACGTTCAAATGATTATCACTGAAATAAGACTTGCAAAGACTAAAAACAACATGACTTCATAAAACATTGCATGTCAATGAAATAAAGTCACACGTCAAATAACAAATTATGAGCCATTAATATGAATACAAATTATTCAGCGTATAATAAATAATAACCAGAATAAAACTTTCAAAACACAATTTATGCAACAGTTGTTGTTGCTGTTGATTTAGGGGCGACGACAATCGTGGGATCGGATGCGCCCCGGCGTACCAGTTAAGAGTTAATCGCGAAGCCCGGAAAGATTAAACGCCAAGCCAAATCGCGAAACAAGTGACGCCAATCACTGGAAACTAATATGCCTCGCGGCAAAGAAACGCAGACAGGCAGCTGATTGGGGAGCCCCAGGAGTCCCTCAGGGTGATAAGCACCGGCCTCGCCCCACACAAAGAACACTGGGTAGCAAAACCAAAACTCGGCCCCCAGCTAAAACGCAAAAGTCATCCAGTGCCCCCTGGCAGAGCAGAAGCCGGCGGCCCACCACGGCTGAGGGCACACCAGGAGCCCACCAAGACCTGCCAACCCCCGGCACCGGACACCGTCACCCCGCCGGGAGAACCAGCCAGAACACGTCAAAAAAAATCTAGCAACAATCCCGTGACCCAAAGTGATGTGTGCCAGACGTCGTACAACCGGACCGGTCAATGGGGATGCCAAACGGCAGTATCAAATCCAAATCGCGAAAACAGAACGTGATCTGGCGGCTCTCATGCGGAGCAGGTATCCAGACGTCCGCTTGTAATAATAATAATAATAATTAATATTTTATTTAGGAAAAGTACATACATAGATGCGGTTACAAACATTCTGATTGATTTATAGATAGAGCTAGTACATACAATACCTAAAGACACTAGTATGCATAGCGTTTTGAGCAACATTTGTCGTCAAGGTTGAACCAGGAGTCCTTTATGCAACAGTGATATATGGCTTCAACAAAATTTTAGATTGTCAACAAGCCTTCAGAATATTTGTGACAGTAATTCCTACAATAAATTTAAGTATTCAGCTATAGTGGTTTCCCTGCTTTCTAAACTGACCGAGTTGTTTTATTCAAGAATATGTAACGGTTTAAAGGACAATACATGCTTAGGGTAGGAGTTCGTCAAGGTTCTTATTGCTGGTTTATGTTAAGTAATTACGGGTTTGAGATAGTTTTGAACCGTAATTACATACGTACCGTTGGTGGAAGATGCAGCCCGTCCTCCAAACAGACCCAAAAGTGATTCCATGCACCCGCCAAACCCCCAGATATTTATGAATGAAAAACGGTTTACACATGACTCCCAACTGTTGACGTTCGAACACTTCCGGAACAAGTGCTTTACTGACGAATTTTCTTTGAAGCACAACGCTGAAAGATGAATGAATGATATAGTATAATAAGTGTAGAGTTAGGTACATTATGCATGGCAGTTGAAGTTCAATTTGTTGCCTGTGTGTGTAGACCTTGTAATTTATCCTCTGTTCTGCTCACAGTTTTGTTGCAAATTCTTGAACCTATTTGCTGGCAGATGTTTCCAGATAATATATAGTACGTCTTGTTAATGCTGAGGATGCGTGTATTAGTTACATCGTGCATGTATGGTCTTATTTGAGTTCATGATTTACTAGATTCAGATGTTCAGATTCAGATGTTTATTCAGGTAAGGTATATACATACAAGTGATGTTACATTAATGGATTGATATATAGATAGAGCTAGTACATACAATGCCTAAAGCCACTATTACGCAATGCGTTTCGGGCAAGAAAAACATTAATATCTAGAACTTAATACTAATTGAGCATAAAGAATAAAAAGTGTTGAGAACAAATACAAATAAAGATAAAAAAAGGGGGAACATGACTGAAAAAGCAGCACAAATACAATAGGTTGACAAACAGTGATGATTAAAAAAAAAAAGAAAATAACAGACATGGGTTGACAATAGAGGAGTGAGGTAGATTACAGGGAATTTATTAGGTAGTGTTTAGTTTTTATCTTAAACTGGTTGAGAGAGGTACAGTCTTTAACATGGTTGGGAAGGTCATTCCACATTCTGGGCCCCTTGATTTGCAGAGCATTTCTAGTTTGATTAAGACGTACTCTAGGAATATCAAAACTGTATTTATTTCTGGTGTGGTGCTCATGGGTTCTGTTACAACCTTCTATGAAGCTTTTAAGATCAGGATTGGCATTATAGTTTAGCGTTTTATATATGTATAATACACTTGAGAGAATGTGCAGTGACTTAATATCTAACATATTCAGAGATTTGAGTAGGGGTACCGAGTGATGTCTGGGGCCAGAGTTGGATATTGTTCTAATAGCAGCTTTGTGTTGGGTAATTAGAGGACGTAAGTGATTTTGGGTAGTAGAACCCCAAGCACAAATACCATAGTTGAGATAAGGATAGATAAGGGAGTAATAGAGAGTCACCAGGGCAGGGCGTGGTACATAATATCTGATCTTAGAAAGAATGCCCACAGTTTTTGAAACTTTTTTTGATATATTTAGAATGTGTCCCTGGAAATTCAGCTTGTGGTCAATGAGAATGCCAAGGAATTTGCCATCTAATTTGTTACAAATTTGGGTATTGTTTATTTTGAGATTTATATGACTAGAGGATTTATTGCCAAACAGAATATAGAAAGTTTTGTCAATGTTAAGGGTGAGTTTGTTGGCAGTTAGCCAAAGATGGGCTTTATTTAGCTCAGTATTTACTGTGGCATTTAGAGCAAGAGGGTCAGGACTGGAGTAAATGAAGGTTGTGTCGTCAGCAAATAGAATTGGTTTGAGGTGTTGGGAGGCATTTGGAAGGTCATTAATGTAGATGAGAAAGAGGAGAGGGCCAAGTATGCTGCCCTGAGGAACACCAATGTTGATGGTTACTAGGCTTCCAGTTCCGTGCCACTCAAGTTCAAGTTTATTGAGTAAATAAAGTACATCTTAAAAGGATAGAGTAGCTTAGGCTGTTTCTACCCTCGTAACCGTGCCTCTCTGTGAGTCCTTGGCATGGACTCACTGACCTCATTGTATGAAGCATTTAATAAGTCAACCAGGTTGTGGCTATCGGTACTCTGCGAAACCTGATCGCATCATTCAGAGAGGCTGATCATTGATTACATACTAAGTTCTTAATTTTAAATAATATATTTATTCATTGTAGTGTTATATAGCATACAGTACTGTAAATTTTCCATTGGGTGATTTCTTATAAACGAAAATTGCATGACTTAGCTGTATTTAGAAGATTTTTTTTCATGAATGTACTTCGAGCTATGGCACCATTTTTAAGACACTCCATTTATAATACAACATAATGTAAGCAAAGTTGAGTAGTTCCCGCTTTATTTTAATTTTCCATATATTTTTTAAGTTGATTTTCTTATTGAAGGAGAGTTTTGATTTGTTGTTTGATAGTGTGCCTGTTATTTTTATATCCCTTCGTTAATGGTTTTGCATGTTTACATCACATACCTGATGTAAGATTTTTTAGCTACTTCGAAAGGTTTTCATTAGTTAAAAGTGCCAATAAAAAGAAACATAACTTAGGGGTTGTGAGACATTCTGAAAATTAGTTACAATATTTTTTAATTTCAAGTTGTTATTTATGAGTAACTGAATAATGTTTGGCCTATAAGAACTAAAATCTATATTTTTTATACTATTGCATAATAAAGAAAGAAATTGAATTGAATTATACTATAGAAATCCAGCTCATCTTCCTAAACTTAAAGTACCTATAATATCTATTTGCTGGAAACTACCAGCATGAAGTGATGGACCACTAGTTAGTAGAATTTTACATTGCTGAATTTGGACAAACAGAAAACTTTATCAACGTGAATATTATAAATCAGTATTGTGATCACATTTAGTTTAAATAACGTATGTGGTTAGCATATATCGCACAATAAATATATTAAACTATTATATAAATAGTATGTGAATAGTCTATATTCCCCAGGAAAGTTTATTATATATTCTCTTATGGAAGATGAGTGCTCCTTATGAACCATTGTTATTTGCATTTCTAAAGGACGTCTTTTTCCTAAGGTACTGTATGATGGCAAACTAGCAGCAGCGATTGTATTTATGTATAATCCAGTAGCTACGGACTCCCAGCTCTGTTTGCAGTCTGCCCCAAAGGGCAACCCTTCGTTCTTCGTCCACAACCCCCATGCCCTTATGCTACAGGTGAGTGATCTGTTGATTGATCTCTTTTTTTTTCATTTGTCATTGACACCATTCCAATATATGGGTATGTTACATCAGGGCAAATGGGACCTTTGACAAGCCACCGGCTTCCTTTCCTCGTCGAGGCCACTAGCATTAGTGGCACTCAGGTAAATTCAAGTAAAATACCCATCCTGTGGGCGGTAATGGACCCCATACCTATCCTGTGAGGGGTAATGGACCTACAGCCATCTTGTGGGCGGCACTGGAAAAGGTTACAGAGGCATATAATTAGCTCAGGAACTGATCCCCGAAACTCATTGAGTAGGCTGTGTGTGTTTTTGTTTGTAATGTTACTACACACTTCTCAACACTGACACCCTTCAATACCCACACACTTCTCCACACTGATATCCCCCTCAATACCCACACATTTCTCCGCACTGATATCCCCCTCAATACCCACGCACTTCTCCACATTGACACCCCCTCAATACCCACACGCTTCTCCACACTGATATCCCCCTCAATACCCACACACACTTCTCCACATTGACACCCCCTCAGTACCCACACACTTCTCCACACTGACACCCCCCTCAATACCCACACGCACTTCTCCACACTGACACCCCCCTCAATACCCACACGCACTTCTCCACACTGACACCCCCCTCAATACCCACACACTTCTCCACACTGACACCCCCCTCAATACCCACACACTTATCCACACTGACACCCCCCTCAATACCCACACACTTCTCCACACTGACACCCCCCTCAATACCCACACACTTCTTCACACTGACACCCCCCTCAATACCCACACACTTCTCCACACTGACACCCCCCTCAATACCCACACACTTCTCCACACTGACACCCCCTCAATACCCACACACTTCTCCACACTGACACCCCCTCAATACCCACACACTTCTCCACACTGACACCCCCTCAATACCCCACACACACTTCTCCACACTGACACCCCCTCAATACCCACACACTTCTCCACACTGACACCCCCTCAATACCCACACACTTCTCCACACTGACACCCCCTCAATACCCACACACTTCTCCACACTGACACCCCCTCAATACCCCACACACACTTCTCCACACTGACACCCCCTCAATACCCACACACTTCTCCACACTGACACCCCCTCAATACCCCACACACACTTCTCCACACTGACACCCCCTCAATACCCACACACTTCTCCACACTGACACCCCCTCAATACCCACACACTTCTCCACACTGACACCCCCTCAATACCCACACACTTCTCCACACTGACACCCCCTCAATACCCACACACTTCTCCACACTGACACCCCCTCAATACCCCACACACACTTCTCCACACTGACACCCCCTCAATACCCCACACACACTTCTCCACACTGACACCCCCTCAATACCCCACACACACTTCTCCACACTGACACCCCCTCAATACCCCACACACACTTCTCCACACTGACACCCCCTCAATACCCCACACACACTTCTCCACACTGACACCCCCTCAATACCCCACACACACTTCTCCACACTGACACCCCCTCAATACCCCACACACACTTCTCCACACTGACACCCCCTCAATACCCCACACACACTTCTCCACACTGACACCCCCTCAATACCCACACACTTCTCCACACTGACACCCCCTCAATACCCACACACTTCTCCACACTGACACCCCCTCAATACCCCACACACACTTCTCCACACTGACACCCCCTCAATACCCACACACTTCTCCACACTGACACCCCCTCAATACCCACACACTTCTCCACACTGACACCCCCCTCAATACCCCACACACACTTCTCCACACTGACACCCCCTCAATACCCCACACACACTTCTCCACACAGACACCCTTCTCAATAGTTAGTTTAGTTCATTTATTATGCACCCCATACCCATGTTGTGGGCGGTAGTGGAAAGGGTTACAGAGGCACATAATGGGCTCAGGGACTGAACTCCACAATTCATTTAGCTAAGCAAGTTACAATCTTGATGAGCTAGTTACAAAATTCAATATAAGTCATCACATCAACAATGGGTTCGAGATCGACCCCATCAAGTACAGGTTCTAAATTAAGCAACTGACATATGTGGAGAGCTAGTGTCACAATTGATATGTTTGTCCTGCACACCGCCCCCCATCCAGTGGGCAGCGGTGGATAGGTTACAATCACTCAGTTACTACCTACAGTTAGCAAACTGGGGATATTTGGCTAAAATTTCTGGTAGCAGATCATTTTGAATGAAATATTTACACATCGCTGGAACATTGATTATAGAATTGTCTCTAAATTCACGTATCTTTTCGCACTCCATCACATAGTGACGGAGGGTGTGCGAATAATTTTGTTGACACAGTTTACATTTGGTCAGGTCTACATCAGCAGATAATGAGAATTCCCAGAGATACTTGTAACCGAGTCTAAGCCGAGCAGTAGTAACATCTAGAAGTCTGCTGATTTTATTGGATGATCCATAGATGTGTGGCTCCTCTTGCATGATAGTATGATGATAGATGGAATTACTGGTGTCAATTTCACTTTGCCTCAGATCTACAAGATCTTGTTGAAGTTCTCGGTGTACTGCTGCTCTCAGATTGCTCATTGACAATCCAACGTTACACTCAACAGCTCCTTGTTTTCGCATCCCTTCCAAGTGCTATAAAATTATTCTGGCTTAGTGCTTTCTTCTGATAATTACCTTACCCTGTATGTATTGATGAAATAACATTGCTGGTCTCCTGATTATATATTTTACAAATACATAATCAAGTGCTGTAAATAGGCTTACTTTGAAATGCTATACTAGCCTGTAGTAATGAGTGATATTCATTTAAGTTGTATAATGAATATCACTCATTACTATAATTAATTTTTAATCTCAATTAGTATTAAGTTTGTCTTTAATGTTTTTCCTGCCCGAAACGCTTTGCGTAATAGTGGCTTTAGGCATTGTATGTACTAGCTCTATCTATAAATCTATAAATTTTTGTATAACCTCTTGTATGTATGTACTTTACCTGAATAAACATTTGAATTTGAATTTATACACAAGAATTATTTGCACTCTATTGTGTAATATGTGTCCTAAGTTTTTAAACTGTATTTTATAAAATCCGAAGAATTCTTGTTTTTCTTTTTGAAGTTTTTAAACTGTATTTTATAAAATCCGAAGAATTCTTGTTTTTCTTTCTGAAGTTTATATTTTAACTGCAGGATGTGAAGGCAGTGGTAACTCACAGTATCCACAGTACCTTGAACAGCATGGGTGGCATCCAGGTGCTCTTCCCACTGTTTCAACAGCTTGACTTGCCACATGACACTCCTCCAGCCATCAATGACTATTACAACACCAACAAGGACCCCTCATTAGGGTAAGTTTAGTTTGTCCATTACTTATTAAAAATGCATGTTGTGTCTAGATGTAAAAATTGAATTGTTGTGAAATATTTATAGTTGATATCCTGACCATTAGTGCCCTTGTCAGTACAGTAGGCTCACAAATGATTGGTCCCGGGTTCCATTCCCTGGCAGGACGAGACATTTGGGAAGGTTTTCTTACATGTACTCTGCTTACACTTGAGGTACCTGGGTTAAATTTTCAGGCTGGACAGAAAAAAAAAAAAAAGTTGGGCATGTTTTCTTTTACCTGATGCCGCTGATCACCTAGCAGTAAACAGTTACTCAGGAGTTAGATAACTAATCTTGGTTGCATCCTGGGGAAGGTCAGTCATTGTCCTAGGGGAAATCTCAATAATCCAAACAGGCTTCCTGTCTCTGACAGTGGGAAACCATTTATGTCATTAATAATAATAATAATAATAATTTGTATTCATAAGAATGCGTATACAAAGAACATAAGAGGAAGGGACAGTTACAGAGACAGGGGGTTACACATACAAATGGAACCACTACTATGCAAAGCATTTTGTGCAAAACTGAACATAATTTAGATACAAAAAATTTGTTAAAAGGTGTAAAATAAACACTTAATTACAAAAATAAAAGTAAGCCAACACAAGTGAGAATGTTAAAGAAATGTAACAAGTGATAGATCTTTAGCCCCTGCTATTGCTTTGCTCTTCAACAAGTCACTTGAACTCCAAACCTTTCCAGATATTCTAAAAAAAGCGAGAGTAACGCCTGTCCACAAATGTGGTGACCCCACAGATGTTAACAACTACAGACCTATATCAATCCTGCCAAACTTGTCAAAAATTTTTGAAAAACTTATATACAAGCAGCTTTACTCATATCTAGCCAAACTCAATATACTTAGCCCTTGCCAATATGGCTTCAGACCCAAAAAAAGCACTAACGATGCACTTATTAGTATGCTTAACTCGATTCATACAGCTCTTGATAAAAAGGAGTTCCCTGTTGGGTTATTTGTGGACCTGCGTAAAGCTTTTGATACTGTCAACCACCATAACCTTCTTCTTAAATTACATCATTATGGAGTCAGAGGACACTCCCTACAATACCTCGAGTCCTACCTTACTGACAGGCTCCAATATGTTTCTGTGAATAATACAATTTCTCCCACCCTACCCATCAACATTGGTGTTCCTCAGGGCAGCATACTTGGCCCTCTCCTCTTTCTCATCTACATTAATGACCTTCCAAATGCCTCCCAACACCTCAAACCAATTCTATTTGCTGACGACACAACCTTCATTTACTCCAGTCCTGACCCTCTTGCTCTAAATGCCACAGTAAATACTGAGCTAAATAAAGTCCATCTTTGGCTAACTGCCAACAAACTCACCCTTAACATTGACAAAACCTTCTATATTCTGTTTGGCAATAAATCCTCTAGTCTTATAAATCTCAAAATAAACAATACCCAAATTTGTAACAAATTAGATGGCAAATTCCTTGGCATTCTCATTGACCACAAGCTGAATTTCCAGGGACACATTCTAAATATATCTAAAAAAGTTTCAAAAACTGTGGGCATTCTTTCTAAGATCAGATATTATGTACCACGCCCTGCCCTGGTGACTCTCTATTACTCCCTTATCTATCCTTATCTCAACTATGGTATTTGTGCTTGGGGTTCTACTACCCAAAATCACTTACGTCCTCTAATTACCCAACACAAAGCCGCTATTAGAACAATATCCAACTCTGGCCCCAGACATCACTCGGTACCCCTACTCAAATCTCTTAATATGTTAGATATTAAGTCACTGCACATTCTCTCATGTGTATTATACATATATAAAACGCTAAACTATAATGCCAATCCTGATCTTAAAAGCTTCATAGTAGGTTGTAACAGAACCCATGAGCACCACACCAGAAATAAATACAGTTTTGATATTCCTAGAGTACGTCTTAATCAAACTAGAAATGCTCTGCAAATCAAGGGGCCCAGAATGTGGAATGACCTTCCCAACCATGTTAAAGACTGTACCTCTCTCAACCAGTTTAAGATAAAAACTAAACACTACCTAATAAATTCCCTGTAATCTACCTCACTCCTCTATTGTCAACCCATGTCTGTTATTTTTTTTTTTTTTTTTTTTTTTAATCAACACTGTTTGTCAACCTATTGTATTTGTGCTGCTTTTTCAGTCATGTTTCCCCCTTTTTTTTTATCTTTATTTGTATTTGTTCTCAACATCTTTTATTCTTTATGCTCAATTAGTATTAAGTTCTAGATATTAATGTTTTCTTGCCCGAAACGCATTGCGTAATAGTGGCTTTAGGCATTGTATGTACTAGCTCTATCTATATATCAATCCATTACTGTAACATCACTTGTATGTATATACCTTACCTGAATAAACATCTGAATCTGAATCTGAATCTGATATACATTATATAGGTGGCACATAATGATGATGAGCATAGATTATTACATCATGGAATCCATAGTTCTAGCAACAGAACAGTAGTTTTTTTAACATTAATAACAGAAAATACGAAGGTGTAATTTAGTAAAGCTACTTAAATATAACATAGAGTAAATTAGTGAAATTTCATGGTTTAATGGAGCAAACACTTAAAAATATATAGGTTAATGTAGGACTTGAGAAAGCAATTTTACAAATGTAGATACAATAATTTGATGACACAATGAAGAAAGAACTCAAATTTTAAATAAAATTTATGATGATGATGGTAACACAAAAACATGTTATGAGGGGAAATATGAGTGCAATCAGTAACATATTATATAAATATTTGTTAGTCTTTCTATTGAACTGGTTGGGAGGCACACAGCTTTTAATTACATTTGGGAGGTCATTCCACAATTTGGGATCCTCGTTTTGCATAGCATTTCTACTTTGGTTGAATCTCACTCTAGGAATATCAGAGAGACATGTGTTTCTTGTGTGGTGACCATTAGTTTTGTTACATCCCTCTAGGAACCATTTATGGTCATGATTGGTATTGTAGTTCAGAGTTTTATAGATATAGAGTATGCTTGAGAGCATGTGCAGTGACTTGATATTTAACAGGTTCAAAGACTTCAGTAAGGAAACAGAATGGTGTCTGGGATTAGAATTTGTTATTGTTCTAATTGCTGATTTTTGTTCAGTAATTAGGGATTGGAGGTAATTAAAGGTAGTAGATCCCCAAGCAAAGAAACTACAGTATAGGTTAGATATGGATAAATGAGCAAATAATTCAATGTTACTAAGGCAGGCCCAGGTACGTAGCATTTGATTTTGGAGAGAATACCTACTGTTTTCAAAACTTTTTTTAGTTACTATATTGTCTATGGCAATGGAAATTCATTGTCATTTATTATATATACTACATGAATCGGCAACAAATTATATTTCTTATCTTTATCTCTTTATCTAAAGGATATTATTATTTCTGTTTCCACCAGATGTTGTCACATGCATACATCTTGGGGGATTTCTTGTAGGCTTCAGCTCTAAAATGTTCAGGAAAAAAAGCAGGTTGTTGTGTAATGTTCATTTGTTTTTTTTATGGGATTCTCAACGTGGGTTCTAAGAAATCCTAATTAAAATTTATCTTTAATCAAGCTTCAATAGTTTGATTCTACATCTACTGAAGATGTAGAATCAGAAACAACTCAGATTCCACCCTTTTTGTACAAAGGGTGACCAGGGTCATCTACATGAGACTGAAATAATATTGTATGGAAACATTTAAACTGGTAATGAGTGAAAGTGAATGGAGCCAGGCATCATTGTGTATATTCAGTACTGGACTGTTCATTTTGTAATGTTCTACTTGCTTGCTTGCTTTTGTATATACAAATCAAGTTGCTGAAGCCAAAATTACAGTTTACTGTATTGCTTTAACATGACTGAAATAGTCAATACTATTGTACTTCTACTAGACACCCAGTGGGTAATTTCTGGTATAATGCATCATAAACTCTTGTCTATCATAAAAATATATGGGGTGGGGGAGGGGGAAGGGTTGAAGGACATGAATCAATGCTATACAAATTGTGTTTACAGTCACTATCTGTTATGATACTTGAACAACAAATCCTACTGATTGATGTACAGGTATATATATTAGTTGGACAGTTAGTATTATATGCAGCAGTGTATTATACAAGATACCTGGGTATCTAACAAAACAAACATTTTATTAAGTTGATGTTTAACTATGGAAAGATTGTTTTCGAGTTTCAGATTTAACTTCTCATTTAACATTATGCACAGGATTGCATAACACACACCATTGGTAACATTTATGGAAGTATTATCAAATTTCTTTCTGAAGCTCTTAAGTTTAGTTTTGAAAAGTGTCAGTGTGTTCAGGAAATATTCTTCATTCAATAAATGATGTTTACCATGCAGACATGTTAAAGATCCCAGTAGTACAGTCGGGTTTGTTCTCAGAGCACAATAACAAATTCTGGGTACGAATCCTGGGCAGGACAGAAATTGTTGGGTAAATTTCCTTTCACCTAATGTGCTGTTCACCTTAGCAGTAAGTAGGTACTCAGGAGCTAGTCATCTTGTCGTGAAGTTGCATTTTGGGTGGGATCAATAATTCGACCTTGGAGAGGAGGGGGGGGGAGCACCTCAGTATAATCCTAATGTGTATGAATTCACTCGGGTTTCCTGTTCTCTGACACAATGAATTATATAATTATAATTATATGAACTAATTTTTGTTTCAGTTCCACTTTGGTAGGGTTTATCTGTGAGATGGTTGAAAGCTGCAACACAGTCCAGCAACATATGGTTCAGAATCGAGGTTTTTTAGTGATCTCGCACCTTCTGCACCGTGCCTCAAGACATCATGTTACCATGGATGTTTTAACTGCCTTCCTCAAGTTAACAAAGTTCCTCGTCACGTGTCCAAATGCTAATTCGGATTTACTTTTGAAGCAGGTTTGTATTGTGATGAAATCAACTAATTATTAGTAAGGAATTCCTTGACTTTACACTGGTATTACTAGTAAACTAGCCTCTTTCGAGAATTTATAAGTTAAATTAGCCTTCTTTTCAGTTTTGGTACATGATACAATATGATGTAGAGAACAGTAAACAATAGTAATAAGAAATATATAAAAGTAAACTGCAAATCAATATAACTAAAATCAACATCAGAGATTTGTTAATGATAAATATATCATCCTGTATTTTAGCTGCTGGATCACATTCTGTTCAATCCATCGCTATGGATTTACTCCCCGGTGGCAGTTCAGATGCGACTCTACACCTATCTAGCCACAGAATTCTTGTCCGATGCACAGATTTATGGCTCGGTCCGCAGAGTTTCCACAGTGTTGCAAACTATGCACACACTTAAGTACTACTATTGGGTAGTTAATCCCAGGGACAGGAGTGGTATTAATCCAAAAGGTCTTGGTAAGTTTGACAAAACGTTTTTACTTGCATGTAGTCTGGCCATTTACTGTTGATATTCAAGTTAATAAAAATGTACTTTGTTATAATGGTACAATATGTAGTAGATCACCTAATTTTGTTGCATCAGTGTTGATCAAATTGGCGAAGTGTCTGAATTTCTCAGTTAGAACATTCAATATTTCTTAATTTTGGATTGGCCGTGTATATTTGTTCTGGTTGATCCTATTTTTCAGGTTCTCATTGCAAACTCTCACTTACTCATTGTTGCTTGCACTCACATGATAGATAAATTCTTTTAGTGCTGAAATTTGGTATTTTCAATAGTTTTCGGTTCTGTTAATGTATTTACTGTACTGTATCACGATATTTATTTTGTCTACTTGTTTTCCAGATATTATAAAGGATTTTTTCCATCAGTTTTAATCATCAAAACCTAATGCATAATCATAATTAAGATCATAATAATAATGAGCTGTTTTGACCAATGCATTCTCATGCTATATAGTCTAGCACACTCACTTTGCAATCAAAGAGATTAGAGTTTTTTATCTCAAGTATGGTGAAACACATGACAGTTAACTGTTGCTTTATCCTCGTGTATCTATCGGCAGTTGGGGACCTGAATGTGAATCAATTTACTTTTTCTTTTTTTTTGTAATATTCCTGCACAGGCAAAAACCTCTGGCTGTCCCACCAAGTGTTTCTCATTTCAGTCTTACTTAGGCAGTGGATAAGTGTTTATGACTGGTTGAGTAAGTGAGGGAGATAGTGTGTAATTACTTAAGTATAAAACGCTTTGCGTAATAGAGGCTTTAGGCATTGTATGTACTAGCTATACCTATAAGTTAAACAATCCTTGTAAATATTTATTGTATGTATGTACCTTACCTAAATAAAATTGTATTGTATTGTATTGTATTGTATAAGTAATTACTTAAGTGTTGTTACAGGATGAGAGCTACGCCCGTGGTGTCCTGTCTACCCAGCACTCTTTGTCATATAACGCTTTGAAACTACTGACGGTTTTAGCCTCCACCACCTTCTCACTTAACTTGTTCCAACCATCTACCACTCTGTTTGCGAAAGGGAATTTTCTTATGTTTCTTCGACATCTTTGTTTAGTTAGTTTAAATTTATGACCTCTTGTTCTTGAAGTTCCAGGTCTCAGGAAATCTTCCATATCAATTTTATCAATTCCTGTTACTATTTTGTACGTAGTGATCATATCGCCTCTTTTTCTTCTGTCTTTTAGTTTTGGCATATTTAATGCCTCTAACCTCTCCTTGTAGCTCTTGCGCTTCAGTTCTGGGAGCCACTTAGTAGCATGTCTTTGCACCTTTTCCAGTTTGTTGATGTGCTTCTTAAGATATGGGCACCATACAACTGCTGCATATCCTAGCTTTGGTCTAACAAAAGTTGTGATCAATTTCTTTAGTATTTTGTTATCCATGTACAGTATTTAAAAGCAATTCTGAAGTTAGAAAGCGTAGCAAAGGCTCCTCGCACAACATTCTTTGTGGACCTCAGTTTTCTATCTAGAACCACCCCTAGATCTCTTTCTTTATCATAATTCTTTAAAGATTTCTCACATAATTTATAGGTTATGTGGGGTCTATGTTCTCCTATTCCACATTCCATAACAGGACATTTATTCACATTAAATTCCATTTGCCAAGTGGTGCTCCATTCACTTATTTTGTCCAGGTCTTCTTGAAGGGCATGACAACCATCTAAGTTTCTTATCATCCCTATTATCTTAGCATCATCAGCAAACATGTTGCCACACAGTCCCTGTGGTGTAGTGGAAAAGTGCTTGCCTAGCATTTCGCGAGCGCTTTGTCCTGGGTTCGTATGCTGGCTGGGGAGGATTTACTGGGCACAAATCCTTAACTTTAGCTTCTGTTTAACCCAACAGTAAAATAGGTACCTGGTAGTTAAATGATTTAGCGGGGTCGTATTCCGAGGAATATAGGATTAAGGACTTACCCGAAAAGCTATGCATGCTTGTTTGCCTGTTTTCAGATTGGGGAGTTCTGCTTAGCAATTTGGCTTTCAGTAGCAATGTTTCACCAGTTGGGGTCTGTTTTGGGACGCCTACCTTTCTGGGTGCCTAACCCGGTCGATGGCAGACATAGAATGCTTCCAACCACAGGGGGGTTTCTATAAGCCATTGCTCCTCGTGTCTCTCTGAGGAGGGGCAGGTTCTGGTTCGTGGTCTCCGGTAGGCATTAGAACTCCATTCGAAGGACTATTGCCATGGTCTAATATATGCATATTAGCCCAGTAAGCTCCAGGGAGCCTCTGGGACTCGCCCAGAAAATGGCGTTTCATTACATTCAACACTGGTTTTATTATATTATTATATTTTTTGTTGTTGTGCTGGGGCATTGATAGTGTATGTATAGTATGAATGTTGACCTGTTGTATACAAGTACCTAAATTTCTAAAGATTTTTCCTAATATGTTTGTTTTTAATTTAACAGATGGTCCACGCCCTAGTGATAAGGACATTGTTAGTCTTCGAGCATATATGCTGCTCTTCCTCAAGCAGCTAATCATGATTGGTAATGGAGTCAAAGAAGATGAGCTCCAGGCTATTCTCAACTTTCTTTCTACCATGCATGAGGTTTGTAATAGCTCTTTCCACATGTTTTTTTGTTTTATGTCAAATGCTAATAATAATGTAATTTCACTCTCCCACTTGCTGTTCTGAGCTTCAGTCTTTAAACTGAACTCTAACCAAACTAAAGAACTCCAACCGAATGTAATGTTTGTTTTATTCACTTTATTCTGTGGTCATGGATAATTGAAAGGGTGTTATTACCTCTGATGTGTGCATTGCTTGTCATTCATGCTTTGGAAAAAGAAAAATTATGTATCATCTTCAGGGTCATGTAGTACAGTGGTAGTAATAGAATTTTCGTAACAAACAATTGGCATGTTTCCTTTCACCTGATGCCTCTGTTCACCTAGCAGTAAATAAGGTAGCTAGGCAACTGTTGTGGTGTTGCATCCTGGGCAAGGTCAGTAATTTGACATAGGGAAAACCCCTATACAAGCCTAAAATGAGAGAGAGAACGTATAATTACTTAAGCGTAGTAAATGGATGAGAGTTCTATCAACATCAGAGGCCCGAGACTTCTACACACTATCAGTACGCATAAGGGGCTTAACTGGCCGACCCCTCACAGTGTTCAAAATGAGAACTTGATAAACACCTCCAAAGGATAATTGATCAACCAGGCTGTGATTCATAAGTCAGGCTGTGAGCAGCCACATCCAACAGCCTTGTTAACCAGTCCAGCAACCAGGAGGCCTGGTCAGAGACTGGGCCGCGGGGACATTGAGTCCTGAAATCATCACAATTTAGCTGCAGGGCCAATTTACAGTTTACAGTTTACAATTTACAATTTACAGTAGGGCCAATCAAACATTGGATAAGGCATTGAATAAAATTCTGGTTGACGTGAAGACCTCAGTAGAGACGTCATTATTCGGTAATGTTTGGTGAGGTCTGGGTCAGAGTGCTGGGAAGTAAAGTATTGTTCTGTATATTTGATGTGGGTATTTTTTTTCTAAATGTGGCTTCCAGGATTTGCAACCGTCTTTGGTCACTGTAATGTTGGGAAGGTAGAATCGGCCAATTGTTATGGATTGCATTTTGGGAAAGGTCAGTAGTTGGCCTAGGGGGACCTCGATAAGCTTGACCCTTAGGCAATGGCTATGGAGAAATGGTCATACATGCCCGTGCACAAAAAGATGTAAAGATTCCAAAAAATAATTTTTCATTATAGAATTGTTAATTTGTATGCAAAATGTAAGGAAAACATGAAATAAGTGAATAATTATCTTTTAAATGGGTGGAGCTCTGCAAGGCTGCATCTGGCACTTGTCAACACCTTTTGCTTGACTTTTCTGATGCTTACCATTTTATCCTTGGATGTTTCACTGATTGTTTAATCACTTGTTTTTCTTTATTTACATCCACAGAGAGCTATTATATCCATACTGTATTTGCATCATACCTGTAAAACCCAGAGTAGTAATTGTTTAAATCGTCATATGACAATGACTGCATCCCCCTAATAACATTCATTGCAATAACCACATTTGTACCATGGAATGGTAGTAGGATTTTTTTCATGGGTTGAAGTAAACTTCATTACATCCACATAGACCTATTATATCCATATTTGCATCATACACCGCCTCCCCGATGGAGGTGGAAACAAATGGGCAGAGTTTCTTTCACCCTGATGCCCCTGTTACCTAACAGTAAATAGGTACCTGGGAGTTAAACAGCTGCTACGGCCTGCTTCCTGGTGGTGTGTAACAAAAAGGAGGCCTGGTCAAGGACCAGGCCATAGGGACGCTAAGCCCCGAAATCGTCTCGAGATAACCTGAAGATAACAAGTAAAACCCATTTAGTAATTGTTTAAATCTTCATATGATAACCTCATGACCCTGTGAATCAACAATTGACAGTGTCCGCTGCCTAAGGGTTAAGTACAAGCTTCATGTTCCTTACAGCAGGAATTATTGGAAATTATATAAGAGATTTGGGATATTACTGTAGATCAACACTAATTAATGTAAATAATTTGTACAACCCACTAGGATGAGAACCTCCATGATGTGCTACAGATGCTAATGTCCCTCATGTCGGAACACCCATCCTCCATGGTCCCGGCATTTGATGCTAAACATGGTGTCCGCACAGTCTTCAAACTCTTGGCATCAGAGAGCCAGCTAATTCGTCTGCAGGCGCTCAAGCTGCTTGGTTATTTTCTCTCAAGATCCACTCACAAGTAAGTGTAATTTTGTTTAGCCAATTTCATGTAAGTATTACTTGAGATCAGCTTAATGCTTAGGAATTGATTGATCCTTTTTCTTAAGGACAGGGTATAATAATACAAAAGTTGTACACATCTATATCCTTACAGAATACTATAACTTTTTACATGCATCTCCATCTTAGCATGAGTCCCAGTTTTATGAAATTGAGAATTGCTAGAAACATACAGTATCATGATTTATGCTGGCAGCTGGTGTAGGCATGTGTGACATCATTCAGTTCAAAATATTACCTAGATGTGCTAAAAAAATCCTTTAATAGGGATAAATTGCAGTTCTAAAGTTGCAGAAAACCAAGCAGAAGACTTCACCTTACTGAGGTCCACTTGGGGTGTACAGGCTCAGAGGGTGGAAGACTTGAATTTCAGCATCAAGACATTAATCTCTACAACTCATTTTTGATTCTGCTTATTTTCTAATTTCTTACATTTTATTTTACTTCACTTAACTATCTGAATGCTAATAAATATTTCTTATCACTTATTTCATCCAAAATCATGCCTATTTTAGTGTCAATTTTTACTTGTGTTTTTTAAGTGCAATTTTGAGGCTGGCAATATCAATTGACTATGGATATTGAGATGCAAGGGATCTTTTCCCAGAATGGCAAGCCATCGCCAGAGACAGTTATTGATAGTAGGAGTTACCATGCCACAGCTGATAATTGTAAACAACTCGGGTGGGAGAGACTTGTCAGCAGATACTCGGAGCAGTCCTTTACTGACGCGTCGCATGATGCAGAGAGCAGTGTAAGGGTTAACTATATTTTGTTTACATTATAAATGTCAGCCACACCACTGTGGATATAAACATTTCATTCACTTGGACACTAGAAGACTCGAACCCCCGACCCCACAAGTGAGAGCTTTGTTTACAACATTTCCTAAGTGATAAATCGGAAAAGAAGTGTGAAGGAAAATCATGCATATACTGTATTGAGAACACTCATTTTGTGCATTTTTTAGTCAATGGCTGTAAATTTATGATGAATGGTGATCCAGTTAAAGTTTTACAGTGATGGAAAGCGGTATCCAAAAGATGCATAATGATAATAAATAAATGAAAAAATGCATTTGTTAGAAACTGAAGATTCATTGTTCTGTGTGGAAGATATTTAAGGTTCATAATAAATTCACATTTTCTTTTTGTTTTCATTGGACATTTGCTTCACTGGAACTACATTTACAAAACTGGATTCACATTCATTTTTATATGTAGATCAGTGGACAAATAAAAAATTGCCTTTTAAAGTGCATAACCATGGAAGAGGAAAACAAATTAGAGTTCATGATAACATTCTGCAGATGGTCCTTGAAAGATTGAAGATGAATGGTGTTAGAGAAAATGTAAGGTTATTATCTACCATGTTCCATTTCCTGGCACAAGGCAAAATTTCATCCCATCCATTCATCCATTCCACAAAATTCCTGTGGAAATGATTAAAACAGACAGTGAAACTCTAAATTGTGGGTTGACAATAGACACAAAGTAACTGCAAGAACAGCTGCAGTGCAAATCATATTGCTTGACTATTTTTGAAGGGGGTTACACAATTTGTACGTTCCTGAGAGCATGAGCCATAGACATAGCAATTAGAGGACAGAAAGAGAAGAAACTTTGCAATGTAAGGCCAGTGACTCAAGCTTAGATGGTTAGACTGGTGATCTGATAAGACAAGCACTTCCCCTGCAGATATAAAAACAGGTTCTGCAGACAAGGCCAAATAAGACATTTGTGTAGAGCTGAAGAGAGACTATAATGAAATATGTTGAATCATCTAAACATACGTAAGAGATTTATGAGCAGAGAAGATAGAAACCAAAGGATTGAAGGCACAGTTACTTCACTGGATCCATTTTACTTCATTTGAGCAATAATTTCTTAAGAAATGAGTTACTGAACTTCACTGGACCCACTTTCATGCAGTCCTTTAGCTGCTGCTCCTAATTGTTCAAGCTGTTCAGGATTTTCATTTCACGAGCCATGTTCCGTCCCCGATGATTCTTCAAACCTGTCCTCTTACAAATAACGTTGCTGTTTGCTCGTATGCGCACTAAAAATTGCCGTACTAGAAAATGGAAGCGGCTCACGAAAGTGACGTACTATCCGTTTTCTGGCTTAGTCTGTTAGATTAGGAGAGGACACTTTAAAATAAGTTTTCATGACATTTTGAAACCTTAGGAGAACTTGCTGCTCTCCTAACCTACCAGAGGTCCCTTAACTTGCTGTTTTTCCATTTCATTTGGAAAATGAATTTTAATTTTCTAGTACTGTACAGCAATTTTTGGCTGTAGTGCACACAAGCGAAAAGCGACGTTATTCGTAAGAGGACTGGTTGGATTCTCAACTTGGCTTGCTTATCAATCACACTCCTTAGATATTTAAACTGCTCAACAAGCATGCCTCCATTCACATTAATGTACCATACAGTTTTCTTCTGTCTCTACCACCAACATTACTCACTCTTTGTCACATTCATATTTCGAATTTCTCGCTCGCTCTTGCATCAACCAAAATTTTCAACCATCAGTTAAACGGGTTCTTGTTGTGAGTTGCATCTGGGGAAATGTCAGTAATTGGCCAAGGGAAACCTTGATAAGCCTAAGTTCAGGCTTTCTTTGCCTGACAATGAGGATTATGAATTATTACTCTTTAGATTTAGTCAAATTACTCACAAAATAGCAACTCAGCAAATTTCATTACAAAAGAGTATTAATATTGCCCCATATCATTACTTAGTAGCAGCTGATAGTTCCTACATTTCAGTGGATATCATGAGACGTGTTAAAGATGCCTAGAATTGAAATGATTGTACCTTGCTACTTGGGTACAGTAATGGTTACTTTTTCACCTGCTTCAGTACCATGTAACAGTACTGTAATTATATACCTAAATGTAATTACTTAAATGTAGTTACAGGATGAGAGCTATGCTCGTGGTGTCCTTTCTTCCTAGTACTTTTTGTCATATAATATTTTGAAGCTATTGATGATTTTGGCCTCCACCACCATCTCACTTTACTTGTTCCAGCCATCTATGACTCTGTTTGCAAAAGTGAACTTTCTGATGTGTTTTCAGCAGCTTTGTTTTCTTAGTATGAACCTGTGTCCTCTTGGTCTTGAAGTTGCAGTTTTAAACAATTCTTCTGTCAGTTTTGTCGAGTCCTGTTACTATTTTGTATGTAGTGATCATATCACCTTTTCTTCTATCTTCTAGTTTTGGTATATTTATCAGCTCCAACCTCTCCCCAAAGCTCTTATTTTTCAATTATGTAAGCCATATAGTTGAATGTCTTTGCACCTTTTCCAGTTTATTGATATGCTTCTTGAGTTATGTTCACTGTATCACTGCTGCATATTGCAACTTTGGTCTCAGAAAGGTCATGAATAATGGTCGTGTGTGAATTGTTGGCAGATTTGTGTGGTGGTGTTGAGGCTTCATTTTCTGTGAATCATTCAGTTGTCTATAAAGCTTTACTGACTTTCTGGAGTTTTTTTTTTTGGTGAGGGTGGCTGATTGTCATTCGTGTCCTGTGCCTTTGTGGGGAGAGGGGTTGGGGGGAGGGGGACAGGCTCTGGCTCTGATCCATGATAAGCCAAACTTGGCTAATGCCACTAATGTGACCTTTTAGCATAGAGCAATCTTAGCAAGATAACTTCAGAAAACCACCAGGGCTCCTCCAGAAAGAGGCATTCCATGACATTAAATACCAGGATTTAACTATTTATCAAATATCTTTGCTTTTTCTCAACATTCATACTTTCATTTGTTTACAGAGGCAATCCTCAACATTTCCACACATTTGTTAGTGTAAGCTGGTGCTATGTGCTTCGTATTTCTGATAGAACTTCAGTGCAGATTGTGGAATTATTATAAAAGCAGTTAAAGAGCTCAATTTGGAGTTTTTTGTACTGTATACATGATGGTTGAAATGTATGTGGTATATACATGAGAAGCCACCCGTAGAAAAGTAAATAAAATGGAGCGAACAACGCATCAGATAAACTATTTGAGTGACTGATACTGTGGTCACAAACTGTGGAGGAATGAATTTATTTTATGGAACTCTTGTAAGTGGGGCAACTTTCTCCGATGTATCATAATATTGTACCCTGTCTTTAAAAATTCCATGGTTTATAGGATGAGTTTAGATGTTGTCATAGTTAAGTTGATCTCAGGTACATCTGTTCTATTTTAAATTGAGTTCAGTAGTTCCAGAATAATATTATTGCTCATGTAATGTGGCTAAGATTGGATTAGCTTGAATGGTAATATGGTATGCTGTGACTTTAGGTTTGAATTAAAGTTGCTTTATTAAGTTTATTATAAGCATATTGGCTATATAAAACATATTTTGATGTTTTATATAGCATATTATTAGTATAATTTTGTTTACTTATGGACATTCTTTACCTGTTTTCCTGTTCCAAGGCAAAGTACTTCTAGCAGAATTATATACTAACATAATAATGTGTTTTCACATGAAAATTGAATGAACTTAGTATTACAGTTTGATATGAATTTGAATAGTTTTGTATTATGCATCATTGCATGGCAGACGTTTATGCATATTTCTGTACATTTTAACATTATTTGTAATTTTGACATGTTCTGAAGAAAATATTTTTTGATTTCACCAATGCTGTTCATAATTTACAATGCAATGGCTTAGTTATATCGTGGAAATGGCTTTTATGAGCACTTAATTTCATAGCCATATAAGGTCAGTTTTGGATTAACAGGCATGCAGCTATTATAATGAAACACCAATAAACTCAGAACACTGTACATTGAATTTGTTCTTGCGCAAAGCAGAGACAATTTACGATCAGTGAGTGATTATTGCATTTATTATACAAGCTCCATAACACAACACTAGTGTGCTTTGCATGGTACCTTCCCCTCCATTCGTGAATGTCAGAACTCTGAATGTGATTATAAGAGTGTTCAGTAATTTACTAATATTAATTATTAGAAGGAAAAATTGTTGGTGGCTTGTTTTCTCTGGTCCTTTCGTTGCTATTTGTAGTCTTGTCTTTTACAATAATTTCAGCTATAATGAGAATTACTCATCTTTTCATATGTTTAAAGAACTATAATACACTGTGATATAGATATTGTGCACATAATGCTGTTGGATTCTTTCATTGCACCAAACACTTATTTTATCTAGGTCAATTTGAAGGGCATGCCAATAGTCTACATCTCCTATCTTCCCTAGTAGTTTAGCATCATCAGCAAACATATTCATATAATTCTCTCTTCTGTCTGGTTGATCATTTATGTAGACGATGATCATAAATGATGCAAAAACTGAACCTTGTGGTACTCCGCTAGTAACACTCCTCCAGTCAGATACATTGCCAGTGATTATCGCTCTCATCTTTCTGTCAGTTAGAAACTTTTTCATCCATGTCAGTGGTCTCCCTGTCACCCCTTCAGCATGTTCCAGTTTCCAAAACAACCTCTTGTGTGATACTCTGTCAAAAGCTTTTTTAGATCCAGATAAACAGTCAACCCAACTCTTTCCTGTACAATCTCTGAGGCTCTCATAAAAGCTAAATAGATATGTTACACAGGCTCTTCCTTGTTGAAAACCATACTGTCTGCCTGTTATTATGTCCTTCCTCTCCAGGTATTCTACTCATTTGGTTTTAACTATTTTTCTGGGGTGAGCCCCTTTGGCTACCCGGAGCTATCCAGGTTGATGTGTATATCATTAGACTTTGGCATCAGTCAGTGTGAATAG